CCACCCACCAGGACCCCCAGGTCCTCCTCTGCAGGGCTGCTCTCAAGCACTGCTCTTCCCAGTCTGTAGGGCTGCCTGGGATTCCTCCAGCCCAGGTGCAGCCTGGTAGATGCAGTCAGAACTTGCATTAAGAAGGAGATGATGTGACAAACTGTCCAAGAGCACAGAATTCATTTAGAAGCGTTCAGATATCATTAGTTCTGTCAGTTCTGGTGGGAACTGCATTGACTTTTCTGAATGTCTTTTAGCATCCAGTTACAAAATAAACACACAACCCATCTCATGTAATGGGCTCTGAATCCCTTTTTTTGTTCCATCACTTTAATAAAGGCACATGTAAAATTGGCCCACACAAGAAAATGATGATATCTGCAACTAGCTGACCACATTTCAGCTTCTCTCATGTGGTCCTAATGATGAAAACTTCTTGTTGTATTTGTGAAATGACAGCAGTGTTCTTCATTGCTGCTGTTGTGAAGCCCAGAACAGACTGAAGCTGTTGGTAGGTTTTGCTGTTTTCTTTGGCTCCTCTGCATAAGAAACAGGGAGAAAGAAGAAACTTGAGCTCTTGAGAAAGATAAGTGTTGAACTTTCAGTTCTTGCTCTGTCACAGTGAAGGAGTGGACAGAAGTCACTGCAGTTCAGTACAGATTTCTGAAGGCATTGAGTCTTTCTATAGCAAACTTCTGAACTCCTATCTCTTTTTTTCCTTCAGTTGTTCCAGAAGTGCTGCTTAGTGCAAAGGATACTGGATGCCTGGGAAGCTAACGACAAAATACAGTAAGTAAAGGGTTTGGGTCTCAGAGTGCCATGTTCTAAGGCTGCAAGCATTGAATATTCCCACAAGATATTACCTCAGTTATTCAAAGTCAGTGCAGTCTGCTCGTCAGCACGGATAGGAAGCAGCAGTTTATAGGGAGGAAAAGGAGATTGCTGCTGTCTGCTGGCTGGGGGTGTGAAACCACAGGTCTGCACCCAAAGGGTCGTAGCTTCACTCTGGAAACTCATTTCCAGGTGTTAATTTCATGTGAATAGTTGTACACTCCGAATTTGGGGTGCAGGTTGGAGGGCTGTCCCCTGCTGCAGTGAGGTACCCTTACTGCTGTTACAGCTTTGCTCTTCCTTCAGCTCTGGGTGCTGCACGTAGATCTCAGAGCAAGGACAGGACTTGGGAATCAACTCTTGGAAAGGGGAGATAACAGCAGGACCAAGGGGAAATGGTTTGAAGTTGAAGGAGGGAAGGTTGAGGTTGGATGTCAGGGGGAAGTTCTTTATTCTGAGAGTGGTGAGGTGGTGGAACAGCTGCCCAGAGAGGCTGTGATGCCCCGTCCATGTCTGGAGGTGTTGGAGGCCAGGTTGGATGGGGCCCTGGGCAGCCTGGGCTGCTATGAAATGGGGAGGTTGACAGCCCTGCCTGTGGCAGGGGTTGGAGCTTCGTGATCCTTGAGGTCCCTTCCAAGCCATTCTGTGATTTTATTACTTCATTGAGCACAGTGCAGCAGCTCAAAATGAATCCCCATCTCATAGCATCCCTGGGGAACTGGAAGCATTCCATGCTGTGTGAGCAGCTAGGAAGGAAGCTTTGCTTTAAGCTGGAGACACAGCAGCGTTAGCTGGAAGCTCCTCGTGAGGATTTTGTGTTCCTGAGCTTCAGTTCCCACCCAGCAATGTTGTTTGTGGTCTCAGCATGATTTCTTACTGCTGCTTGGGGTCTCTTGTTACCTTTGTGCTTTTCTCTGCAGGGCAGAAGGGGGAATGAGGCGAGGCAACATGGGCCACCTCACCCGCATCGCCAACGCCGTGGTGCAGAACATGGAGAAGGGCCCCATGCACACCCAGATCAGTGAGTTCATCAAAGGTACAACCCTGTGCTCTGTTGGTTTGTCCTCGATGAAATAACTGGGAAATCACTGCCCCTTACTTTGTGAGGGGACCTTTTTATGAAAGAAAAGGCTTTCTCGTTTAAGCGCCGTACGGTCCCAAAACAAACCAGCATTTCCAACCAAATTCAGCCGCTCTTTGTTTTCGTGCAGTCGTTTCAAAACGGTCAGAACTTTGCTTTTACACCTGGAGGCTGAAGGTAACCACGCTGTAACAAAGATTGCTTCTTCCCAGAGCTGCCTGAGGACTGCAGAGGGAGGTGGGAGAGCTTTGTAGAAGAGACGCTGACGGAAACAAACAGGAGGAATACGGTGGATTTGGTGAGAGCAGTGATGCACCTTTCAGTGAGGTCTGCTGTCTTCTGGGTTGTCTTTAACTAAAAAGGGGAACAATGCTGCCAATCTTCTTCTGTTTGACTCTGCAGAGGCACTGTGTCTGAACATGTGTGTCCTGCAGTCATGCAGCAGCCTTCACACGTGTTGGCAAGCTCTGTTCTGTGATTGTGTCACTCACCGTCCTCTGTTTCTGTCCTTGTCTGTTTTTGCATGGTGGTTTTTGAGCTTTCTTAGCTTTCCCTTATGCTTGTTCTCTCTGCTTCTTTCAGGTGAGCACTCACCATCTGCACTCTTCCAGTGAGGATGAAGACATTGAGAGTGCTTTTCCCAATGAACTTTCTCTCCAACAGGTGAGCTGACAACGCATTCCTTGCTGCTCCTAGGGAGTTTGCTTCTCCAATTCTCCCTTAATCCTTCCTATTATGGAGCAGCTTCATTCACTCTGTCACTGTCAGTGTGTTCAGCCTTTCAGCATCTTGCCATTATAGTTAGTTAAATGGCAGACTTCAAGCTAGATTCCAGCCAGGAATAAATTTGGCTCAGGCTGCATCCAAGTCCCAGATACAGGATGTGTCTCCAGTCTCTGTCAGACACTGCATATTTCTTTCTCTTTCCCTGGTTCTCTGCACAGTAGTGGGTTGAGTGATCCTGATTCTATAGATGAGCTGCAGCTCGTTGCTGTAGGTCCCAGCCAGCAAGGTGGTTTCTGTCAGCTGCCTGCAGTGGAATTGGAGCTGGGAGAGGTTTTCTGCTTCCCCTTGAGCTGTAAAGACTTCTATTAAAAAATGGGAAGAGCCATACTAAGATGTAAGTGAGAAAAGAGCAAGAAGAGCAGTAAAAGGCCTTGAATTAAAAAGAAATGGGGGAAATTGAAGGTTCACTTGAATTTAGCAAAGACCTCAGGTTCCTCAGAGCGTGATGAAGGGCCATCAACCATTTGGAAGCAGCTTTCCAGGCTGAAGAACTCAGGCAAACTCCTCCCCGCCACTTTTGCCATTCAGAGCACTGACAGAAAATAGAAGTTTCAACCTGTTTAGTGGGAGGCTGCTGCTGGGGGTTAGAAAGACAATCACAGTCTGAAATGTGATGAAGGGTAAAAAAAGATCTGAAAGCAGTTTGTTGTGATTGTTGTTATCCCTGTCCAGATCTGCACTGCCCTTGCAGGTACCTTCCCCACAGCTGTGGGGTCGTTGGGGGTCCTCAGCTGGAGCTGCAGCATGCAGGGTTATCCTTCAGTAGGAGAAACAAGCTGAGAAATACAGAAGTGGGAGATTCTACATTGAGGAAAAAGGAATTGTTTTCATGAAGGGAGAATGAGGTGTGGATGAGTAGGCAAGAACGTGACCAAATCAATGTCTGGGCAGCCTGGCTGAGAGGTGGAGGGCAGAGGGCCTGAGCAGCTGTGAGATACACAAGTGCCTTCTGGTTGTGCCTGAGGTGCTGCAGTTGCCCAGTAGCTCTTTGTGGGTTCTGTTCTCAGGCCTTCTCTGAGTACCAAATCCAGCAGATGACAGCAAACTTCGTGGATCAGTTTGGCTTTAATGACGAGGAGTTTGCTGACCAGGATGATAATATCAAGTAAGTGTACACAGCTTCAAGACACTTCTGTCTGGCGTTGACACCTCTCTGCTTCTCATCTTTCTGTTCTCTTCTGGTTTTAAAGTGAAGCTGGCTCTGCACCTTGTTTGCTGTCACACAAACCCAAGTGTGATCAGCAGATTGGGAAACACCTGATGTCTTTTTCACAGCGTTTCTTTTGATAGGAGTCACCCAGCAGTGCTTGTAGCAGCGTGGAGAAGCACTTCTTCATTCTGAGGAGAAACCTTTTTAATAAAACATGCAGTTATTACCCAGCCACGTTCTAGAATAAATGGAAGAAGCATTAGAGCTAACTGCAGGCCATTACAGAGATATTCTCCAGTGGCATTAAGTCCTCATTGAAATTAAGAGTGGAGGAATGGTGTTCTAATGATAGCCACCGAAAAAAAAAATCAGCCATTTATTCCCTTATGAATAAGGAAACGTGGATGAGCTGGGAGCAGATCACAGCTCAAAGAAGGCAGATTGGGTTGAATGTGATGTTCCATGGCTGCTGAACGGAGCGCTCAGAGGTGGTGCTGCTGCTGTGGAAGAACTCCTGCAAGCTGGTTAAAGCTGCAGCGTTGTTTTCTCACCTTACAGAGGGTGCAGAGGAATTAATTGGCTGGGACTGCAGCTGTCCTGTTTGCCTACAGTGATTCGGAAGCTCTGAGCTTCTGCTGTTACATTGATTGACACAAGAGCTTTCCAGAAGGATCCTGAGTTGGTGCAGGTCAGCAATCTCCAGGGTCTGCTGTCCAAAAAGCCCATCCAAAAAGAATGCTGGTGCTCCATAGGCAGCTTTCAGCCCAGCTGCTCCATGCCCTCTGCATTCCAGCAGTCAAACACTTTGTCAGATACAAACTTGCATATTTTCAGAGCTAAGAATCAAGCTTCAACGTCCTGGCGACGTGCGTGACGAGGATTTTTGCTGATCAGCCTTCTGGAAAGGAAAATAGCACTGTCTGAATGCAGAAATAGAGCAAAGAAGAACTGCGTGGGCCCACGCTGTGACAGCAGAGTGGAATTCCTTGACCTGCAGCACCCTCTGCTGTTCTGACAGCAGACACTCCTGGGTCTCAATGGGAAACTGGGTTATGTGATGCCATTTGTTGGCCGTGTTTGCGTCCCAGTCGTGAGTCAGGGGTGTGGAACCAATCAGATTCCCTGAGGTTCATGGATTTATGCTAAAAACAGGCAGGTGTGGCCCCCCTGGATATGGCTGGGGCTGTGCCCACTATGTAGGATCCAGTCCCTCCCCTGGGTCTTGTCTCATGCTGAGGAATCCTTGGTGAATGTAGGACTGGAATTGCACAGCACTTGGATGCAGCTCCTTCTGCTGTTAATGAATGGAGGCTCTGTTGTGTTTTCCTATCAGCTTTGATTCAGCTCAAGTGAAAAACCTGTGATGCTGTGAAAAATGTTGAGGCTGCCTTTGTGCTGTGTAAGTAACATTAAGAGCTGCAGAGCAACAGCCAGACATTGCCAGAGGTGCCATGCAGGTACTTAGCATTAGCAATCACTAGGATTGAACATCCCACATCATTATTGTTACTTTATTTCCAGATATTCAAAAAGATGGAGACAATCTTTCATCTCAAGAAGCAGAAAGCATCACCTTGAATAAAGCAGTGAGCAGGGGGCAAGCTGCCCTCTGGCTCCTGCTGGGGCTGCAGCAGTGCTGCCATCGCTCCCTGCCATCACTGAAGGCTCTCCCCTTTCTTTTTGCAGTGCTCCTTTTGACAGGATTGCAGAGATAAACTTCAACATAGATGCAGACGACGACAGCGTAAGTGGATGTTTGGGGATGTTCTGTGTAATGGGATGCATTCTGGCAAGTTGGTTCACCTCTGGATCAGCCAGTGGTGTTTTGAAGATCAAAATATCTGCAGGAAAAGCAAAGGTGCTTCAGTGGCTGCATGCAGTCAAGGATCTCAGGGCACGAAATGAGCCCTCCTGGTTCATTGCCTTGGTGCAGATCTTCAAAACCAGTCCTCTTTATGTCAGAAGAATTGCATTCTCTCCCTCTCTGCAGTGTAAACCTGCTGTCCCTGTTCTTGCTTTGATAATCTTTCCATACGTGATTAGGAAACATTGCACATAGAGGGTTGGGGTTGTCATGGGTCTCAATATTTCTGTGCTGTGTTTTGCTTCTTCTGCTTTATTGGCCTGCATACCCATTGAAGAAGCTGGGGAGTGGCTTACAGAGGTGATTCCAGGCTCACCTGGCCAAGCTTTGCTTTGGTCAGTGCTAAGGCTTAGGTGTCCTCATCTTTCTATTTCACTCACACTGTACCATTAGTGCAGTGTTCTCCCTCTGGCTGCCACAGGCATTGCTCTGTAGGTACAGAAAATCTGATTTCTTGGTGGAACTGTGGCTGCAGCCACCAGGAGCTGCTGCTGGCTTCTGAGAAGGCAATCGTGTGCAGGGTGGAATTCCAGCACAGCCATTCCTTAGGCAGTGCACCACCTGGAAATGGGAGTCCTCTTTGCTTTGGGGCAGTGTTGGTGAGACCCTGCTGGGTGTCCTTTCTCCACGGCCCTGGCGTTGCTGCTTCTGCCTGGGCTGTGCTTCAGTGCTGTTGCACTTCTGAGGGCTGCTTGGGATGCAAACACAGCGTGAGATTAAGGTTAAATGCAGACAAGGAACGCTTTCCTGGTATTGCTTGTGTGCTGAACGAGCTTGTTATCATCAAAGCTCTTGTTTCTTTCTCCACTGACTGAATGGAATGTGATCTCTGTATCATACTGTTTCAGCCCAATGCTTCCCTCTTTGAAGCCTGCTGCAATGAGCGAATCCAGCAATTTGATGATAACGAGGAAGAAGAAGATATCTGGGAAGAGAAGGAGATAACCTATGCAACACAAGTGAAATCCAGGACGAGGTAAGGAGAAATGGAAGGGTCTTTCCTCACCTGGGGGGCAGGAGGAGGTTGGAAGCATTGGAAGGGTAACAGGCAGAACATTCCTGTTGAAAGTGTCTGAAGAAGACAAATCGTGTTTTGCATGAGAATGAGTGACCTCCCGTGGCACTGCAAATCACTGTCAGCTTTTCATCCCTTTGTTGCAGTCAGTGACTACTTAAAGTCACTTCTGTAACTGTAAATCCAAAAATATGATTAAATGAGACAGGACGAGTGGTCGAGACCGATGGCTGTTATTTGCCAAGCATTAAAAATCAGATTGCCCTGATAGGGCACACAAATGGTCCCAAACCTTTGCTCCTCTCATTTGCTGCCCTTTGTCTGCTCCTATCACTCTCCTGCCCTGAGACATCGCTGCAGCTTAATTCCCCTTAGGACTCTGCAAACAGGTTTTGACAAGCAAAGCACTCAGAGCCATTAGAGGAAATATCTTAAGAAGTGCCCAGCTGAGCCTTGCATCTTTTTGGGAGCTGAGCTCTATAGAAGGGATTTAGCATCACTTGGTCAGCAGCCAGGTTCTGCTTTCTCCCTGGGGCGGGAGAGGGATGAATTGGCTGCTGCCAGGGATTTACTGACTCTTGAGTTCTCTGATTTAGGTTTGGAGCATCTCAGGCCTCAGAGAGCTCATCTAAAAGTGATCTCGAGAACGGAGATCACGATGGCAGCGTGGACTCAGAAGAAGAGGAGGAGACAGAACAGCAGGTGCCTTCTTCCTCAGCCAACAGCAACAAGAGCAATGCTGCAGAGCAGAAGGAGTCCGACTCTTCTGAAGGTAAGGAGTTTAAAACAGCATCGTCCTGTTTGAAGTGACATCTGCAACCATCTCTGCCAGACAGCAGCTTGCTGGTTGCCTTTTTACACAGCTGTTCCATAATTTCACCTGTGCAGATGAGAGGAGTGTAATTCAGTCTTTGTTTTTTGCCTCTAATGCCCCCCCTTTGGGGTGCCCAGCCCAGAAGGCTGAAAATAAACCACCTTTTCCCCTACCACGATGCAAGTGGGGCTGTGTAAATTCGTGGGACGCAGTGTTATCAGCAGAAGAAATTCAGCCAACAGAAATAAAGGGACAGGAATGGTTTTTTTCCCAGCAGGTCTTTATTTGCTGTCAGTGCAAACCTTTTCTGTTAAAAAAGAAAAAAAAAAGGGTTTCTTTTTCTAGGTGATATCTCTATATCTGTGATAGTGAGCACAGTCTGCTCCTGTAATCAGCTCCACACGCACGGGTTTGTATCCAGACCTCTGCAGTCCTTTATTTCTTGAGAAAAGAGGATGAAAAATGCCTTGTGGAAATTATTACAGAATCATTTGGGTTTGGGTTGGAAGAGACCTTTGTGATCATGCAGTTCCCAGCCCCTTCTATAGGCAGGGACACCTCCTTCTTAGCCCAGGTTGCTCACAGCCCCATCCAGCCTCCAAGCTGGGAGCATCCACGACCCCTGCGGGCAACAAAGCATCTCACTGCCCTCACAGTAAGAATTTCATCCTGATATTTACTCTAAATCTCCCCTCTTGTACTTTAAAGCCATTTCCCCTCGTCCTGACGCTACAGGAACGATAGATAGGAATAAAAGAGATTCTCATGAGCAGAGAGCAGACTGGGATCTGAAACACCACGTTACGTGCTTAGTTGTACTTGAGATCTCTTCTGCGATACCAAACGTTGCATCGGTTCCCTCCCTGAGGTCGAGTGATTGAAATGGTTGGAAACCTCACTGCTGAGGTTCTGACAAGAAACTGAGCTTCTTGCAGCTGAGAAGAAGGAAGAAATCCATCAAGTCCTTTTGCTTGTTGCCTCTCTCTTGTGGATAACATTAATATTAATCGGATTTCCAAGCTGCAAGCTGCGGCTTCCCAAGGACTGAGGATGGTCTCGTGAATTCCTTTGTTGCTGGGATGGCTCTGGGGTGTATTTGGGGGCAGCTGATACTCTGGAAGCCCCAGTGTGCTGTTGTGTGCCCTCAGGCTCCGGATGGACCGCAGTGTTTGAGCCTGTCAGCTCGAAGCCCCCCACCCCCTGCGTGGCCATGGATGTTGGATCCAGCGTGTGGGACTCAGCGGCCCCGGAGAACGCTGCTCCAGAGAAGGGGTGGGCCAAGTTCACAGACTTCCAGCCTTTCTGTTGGTAAAGTCCAGTTCTTTTGGTTTCTTTTTAACTTCAGAATGAACAAAATACGTAAAGCTATGATAAAAAGATCAGAATCTTTTTCTCCTCCCGTCCCCCCTCCCTTTGCTGCCTGTTTTGTACTTTAATGTTGTCTGAGGGCTCTGCATCGGGGCACCATGCTTCCCTTTGCCTTTCATCCTTCTAACTACTGCTAGCACACGTGCCTTGGGCACAGGAGCAGCACACATCCCATAACTACTGCTACACCAAGACTACAAAGAATGAAAAAATAAAGGGAAATTAATGCATTTCTTCACACTTACAAAGATGTCAGAAAGGAACAGTGCCCTAAAGCCTTTTTCGGGGTCTTTTAGAAGCGTAGCTGGGATTTCTAGACTTCATTCTCAAGGTGTTTTTCCCCTTTCCCCATTCTCCACTCAGCTCTGAATCGGGCCCACGGTGCAGCTCTCCTGCAGACACAGAAAGCAGCGATTCGGACGGCAACCCGAAGCAGAGTCAGGACAAGAACTGTAAGTGAGAACATTGCAAAGGAGATGCATTATTTGTGCTGTTTGAAGCACTCTGCTGGGGAGAGCTTCCCACCTGCACCATCTGCCTTCCCTCTCTCGAAGGCTGTTTTTGTTCAATCAGGGAAAACGGTGACTCAGAAATCCCAAACGTTGGTTGGGGTTCAGCAAGGAGAGGATGAACTTGGAGTTAGTGAGAATTGATGTCACACAGGCAATTTAGTTGTCAACTATTCAGAAAAAAAAAAAACCAAAAAACCAAACCTATTTTTAACTGTGTGTTGAATTGTAAAATTACCAAAAATTAAAAGGATGTGATAACTTATCAGTAGTTGTGCCACGTCCATTGGTTAACTTCAGCCTGGTTGCCTTCCCTCCTCCTTCCTGAGTTAAAATGAAGGACTTTGATGGAACCAAACTCAGCTCTGTGCTTGGTGGATGGGACTGCAGTGGAGAGCACAGCGCATCCTTCTGCCACTTGCAGAAGCACCTCAGGATCCCGTGGGCCCTTCTGGCCACCAGGGCACACTGCTCACTGACTCATGGTCAGCCTGCTGGCCACCACGACCACCGGGGCTTTCTCTGCAGAGCTCCTTTGCAGCAGTTCAGCCCCCAGCCTGTCCTGATGCTGCAGCTGCTCCTCCCCGGGTGCAGAACCCTGCAGTGCCGTTGCTGAACCCCATCAGGTTCCTTTCTGCCCCACTCTCAGCCTGCCCAGCTCTCTCTGAATGGCATCACGGCCCTGTGGGATGTCAGCTTTGTGCCATAAGTGAAGAGCACTCTGCTGTTTGTGCTGAATGTAGACATGAGCTGGCAGGATTTTCTCGATGGAGAATGCTGATTTCTTCTCTTTTTTTTACCTTTTAAAATTAATCTCAGAATCACAGAATCACAGAATGGCCCAGGTTGGAAGGGAGCTCAAGCATCACGAAGCTCCAACCCTTCCACTGCAGGCAGGGCCACCAACCTCCCCATTTCACAGCAGCCCAGGCTGCCCAGG